AGGCTCACCAAGCGTCTTGCTAAAGCCCCACACCACTGACGCTGTTGATAAAAACATAAAATCCAAAACTAGTCAAAGTCTTATCATCATGTCAAATGTGTTAAAACAACAAAGAAAAAATAACACTGAAATCGTTTAAAAAATAAACAAACCTTGCCTTGACCGTTACTCTTTGGTTGGTTGTAAGAAGCTTCTAACAAGGTAAATCCATGAATTATCTCCAGAATCTCACAGTGACTTGTGTTTACCTGAGAGCGTCAAAAGGATTTGATTCTGATTGATGTAGCTAGTCATAAGAGCCAACAATCGCGCGCAGCATCCGCCCCTCTGTTTACCTGTCCTCATTGTTTCACCTGAGTCACTGGAAGGTCAAGCGAATACCTGCGGTCGTTGGCGATAAGCGGCACAAGTTTGAAACGGAGGGAGGCTATTTGTAGGTACCACAGAACCGCAGAGTTGCCTCTGATGGCAAAGTCAGAAAACTGCTTTTCTTGCGAAAACGACAGCGACAAAATCGGTCCGGTTTCGGAGGTGACTGGCCCTGCAATTGGGTTTATCTATTTTTAGCAGAAAAGAGCGAGGACGAGGGAATCTCTTGGAGAAAACAGGGCGGCATGTGTGTGCTCACATTCCACATGTCTGACCTTTGACTGTGGTCTGTTTGCAGCGCTATGCAACCATCTAATGAGAGTCCAGAAAAAAATAAAAAAGGGATTTAAAAGCAGGAACAACAGCTCTTTTTCTTTTGTCCCATATTTAATTAAACTGCAAATATACCTGTCAGCATCTCATTCACACGTTTCGCATTGCCTACAGTTGCACTGGTGATGACCCAAGAAACTCAGTAGTTTTTCTGTTTTCAAAAATATTGAAAAGCTGACTTTAAACTCTTAAGAAATGTGCCAATAAATTACTGGCGTATCTCCTAATTAGGTTTTTGTTTGTTAGCTAGATATTAGCCAGTTGTTTTGATTATAATTAGAATAAGATATGGGCAGGAATTTGGTGATCAAACGTTTATAGAGATCTTTGAAACAACTTTCACCAATGTTTGTGCAGGGTTTCCCCCTATAAGCTTATGTATGTTTTTTTTTATGCACCTGTAACAGTGACAGTAAAGACGAATTAAGCTAGGTCTATAGTTGACGTGTTGAATTTACTGGTTGTGAGATGTGCACACTAATTGCGCCATCCCTACAGCTATCCGTTGGCCTCGTGCGCTGTTGTTACCAAATTATGTCATTTGCTCTTCTGAATTTCTGTAACTTTCAACACAGTGGAGCTGCTGGCGGACTGCCGTACCGCCTCTACCACTGGGCCTCGCAGGTCCTCTTGGAAATACTGATTGTGAAATCGTACCTTTTCAAATAGTCCTAGAGCTTCTTGCCTGTCACTTTGTTCTATTCCACTTTTAATTGAAAAGATTTGATCTTACTTGACTTAATTTGTGGCTCTGTCACTTTGGTTTAGATTGCGTTGCCATAGAGTCTCTTTGTTTCCAGTGAAACCGTCAGAATGCTCTCCTTTTCTTTATTTTCCTGCTTGGACTGTCCAAAAGACAAACAATCTCCCAAGTCCTCTTGTTTTTTTTTCTGTCCCCCTCTTGTTCTCCGTCTCTTTTTCCCACTTCCTCCGTTGTATCCAGCTGGGACGGCCGGAGATTTTACACCCAATTGGTCCGGTTGGAGGCCTTTGTCGGAGCCCTTCTCTCGCTCCACAAGTGGCAGAAGGACCTGGCCTGTGAATGGTGCTTTGTGCGCTGTTTTTCTTAGAGGGGGCCCTCTCTCCCCCACTCTCATCTGTCACAGGTCCCTCTCCGTCCACACACTCCACAATGCCTGATTGTTCCTGCCCCAGTCGCCAGGTTCCAGGCCAGATCTGAACAAACGCTCTCCTGCCAAATTCCGACCCTGGTTTTTGTTTCTCTTCCACTCACAAAGGGATTCTGAGTTACTGCTAGCTGTCCACTATCGCCACTTCGTTTTGTCAAGTTTTCCTCCAAGCTAAAGGCTGTAACATCTTCTACGGCAACCGGCGAAGGGGCAGAAGTTGGCTCATCATACTCTAAAACAGCGAGTTGGAGCAATAGAAGAGTAATCACATTAGCATCACCAGGAATTTGTTTTTTGTGACTAGTAACCCAAAGTCATTCTGCCATTAATGTCTTTGGGAGATTCTTGTTCTTGCTTTTTAATTGCTTGTTTTCTAAAAACAACAACTACAAAAACACACTCTGTCTACAAAGATGACATTGCTCCGATCAACCCAATTGGGGTCAGGAACAATGTTCAGCACTTTTTTTCTTCAAACAGATGGGTTAGTGTCAACCTTTAGTCCTCGGCTGATTATGAGGCACAACTTGATGAAGTCGCACCACGTCATGTTTGATACTTTTCAATTCAACAGTGGCACATATCACTGCCCTGTGTATGTATTATTTAGATACTGTTTTCAAGTAATATAATGATAATGGCTTATTAACGCAAGAACACATGCTCAAAAATCAATAAACTTTAACTTAATTTAACAATGGAACTGGAAGACACTTAAATAACCAGAAAAAATAAATGAAGCAACACAGAGACACACAGGACAGATGGCCTTGCAGAGGATCCTCATGCCAAAAAAATAAACGTTTTTGTTTCAGATTAAATATGTCTTGAATCTTAAACTTTTCATAAATAATTGTTTAAGACAAGAACTAGATATAAATAAAATTAGAAACATGCACTCCAGAGTTCTTAAAAACAATGCGCATTTCAGCACTGATTGAGAAAAATAAAGTCATTCTGACAGATTGTTTTTTTCTTAGTTTGTGCTGCCCCCAAAATAAGGGCACCCCGGGCAGAGAGCCAATCACACACACAGTATGTAACGTTTTTTTGTTGCAATCTATATGAGCATCTGATAAGCCAAGTTTAATTGAAAATGACTAACTAAATAGTCTGAAACATCCAGTCCACAAAAAGTCCATCACTTGTTGGGTAAACAAAGAAGTTAACAGGTAATTTACTTGATGGTCAGATTAAGAACAACATCTTCCTGCTCCAGGCAGTCACAACAGGACTTACGCCGTGCTTACCAACAAACTACTGGTCCCTGCATGATGAAACTCTATCAGAGGCAGCGGGTTGGGAGCCTGGCATTCCTGGCCATATGAGACTCTGGTTCCAAGAAACCAAAACTGAAGCTCCCTCATAAACACAGCAGCAGCAATATTGTCAGCTAAATATAGGCGGTCTTCTGTCTTCTCCTTCCTCGGCTCCTCAGCACTCTCTCATCGCTGCAGCACCAAGTCCGTGAGTTGATCAGGGATTAATGTTAGTACTGTAGTTGCTGGTTTTCTGACTTAATAGCTCAGGTCATGTCGGCATGTAGAGCTCCAGATTGCTTTTGCCAAAGCTTTCAAATGCCCTCTGTGTGCAAGGAAGACTACACTTGTGGCAAGTTTGAAATAAAACTACTGAAAAAAACAAGTACAATACAAGTTAATTCAATTTCAATATTTGTTCTTAAATTAGATTTCTTTTTAAACTGGCTTCACACTTGATAGTCTGGCCATCAGGACATCAGATTCAAAATTTCCACATTTATGTATATTTTCAGCTGGTACACACTCAGACTGTCTTAGCGCTGCTCAGGTGGAGTTTGGGGGATTGTCCCGTCAGACAGTCAGTTCCCGAAACCACACACACAAAAAAACCTCAGAAAAGCACATGCAGGGTCAATGCACTGAGTTAAAAACTCATGGAGTCTGATGAGACCCATCTCTTAAGACTGTGAGACGGTTAAGCAACCTTTGGCGGCGCTGCACCAATAACCCCTGAAGGAAACGACACAAGAAAGAAACTACGAAGAAGTTATCAGTACTACCTCCTTCATGAAAAGTAAACACACTGGTATCCAATTAGATTTTAGTGGTTGTAGAATTTCTCTTTAGTCTGGTGTCAACAACCCGCCGGGACATTTTGTCGTTTTCAGTCGGAAGAGCAAAATCGGACCTAACCAGACTGCTTTAGTTCGAATGCATGCATGCATTCTCAGTTATCGTTTTGATTATTTAAAACTAGGCCTGCAACTAACGATTATTTTAGTAATTAATAAATCTGTCAATTATTCTGGAAATTAATTGATTCATTGCATAAAAAAATGTACACATCCAGCTGCCTTTTCATTGAACAACTTATACATTTCCTATACAATATTAGAAATACTCTAAAAAATGCAAAAAAAAAACCAAAAAAACTAACTCAATTGCTTTTTTTAAATGAGAAAAATAAACATTTTATTGCCTAAAATGCAATGGCACAGCATTCCTTAGTGAATTTGAGTCAGGGGGATATAAAATAGAGAAAGATGTTTTTATGTTAAATTCAAACTGTATATATATTTTGTATATCCATCCATCCATCCATTTTCTGTTCACCCTCATCCCTAATGGGGTCGGGAGCTGCTGGTGTCTCTCCTGCTTCGTTCTGAGCAAGACGGGTCACACTGGGCAGGTTGCCAGCCTGTCAAAATATTTTGTACAGTTTTGGCTGAATTACTGCTCTGAATGTGTTGGTTTTCTTTCAGTAAATGACCTGTTTTTGAATCTGTGTAGTCCAGTTAACGATTTATTGATTACTAAATTAGTTGGCGATTATTTCCGTATTCAATTAATCACAATGAATCATTACAGCCTTATTTACTGATTACTCAGATCAATTACCGCTCGGAATGTGTTTTTTTTTATCACAAGGCCTTTTTTGTGTACTGCAGTGAGTGATTTATCAATTACTAAATTCAATAAATGATTAGTCACGACTGAACATTTATTCATTTTAGTCCTGTTTACTGCCTGCCCAGCTTAATTACTGCGCTAAATATTTTTGGATCTTTTTGCAGCAAATGGTGTCCTTGAGTATGAAGATAAATTGCGTTTTACTTGGAGTTTTTAAGTTCTCACATCCACTGAAGGAATCAACCTCTTTCATGTCCTTCATCTTTGTTTTCAACAGAATGATGTCTTCCATGCGAGCAACGCCTCCTTTCCACCCACCGCCATCCGTGGAGGCGGACGCCACGGATCAGGATAACAACGCGGCCTGGGCCGGAGACGAGCGGGACGGCCTGACGGAGACGGTCCCCGGCACGACCCCGCCACACGACCGGCCCTGCCCGGACGAGCCCCCGCCCGCCGGGAAGAAAACAGTGGCCGACATGATCGAGTGGGAGACGGTCGCCCCGGCTATGATGGTGAGCCGTCGATCCCACTCGGCTGCTGAGAACCGGACCGTTACCTTACGCCAGAGATGCGTCACTATAGCTCAGCTCTGTGAAATATTATGCGGTTGCCATGTGTGGGCGTGTGTGTGTGTGTGTGTGTGTGTGTGTGTGTGTACACAGTGAACACACTCGGGGCCATGCAGCTCATAAAACACTCATGGAGAACATACTGGAGTGCACTGGGTCTGCAAATTCTCATGCATAATGATGATTGTGCACGCCTGCGTGCAACTTTTTAAATCCATATATATATATATTTTATATATATATATATATATATATATATATATATATATATATATATATATATATATATATATATATATATATATATATATATATATATATATATATATATGCACTGACCCGGAGTGAACACACACTTTCACACAGCAGCAGTTGTTTCTGGTCTGTTTGCTGCAGGCGGTGCTGCAGGCTGCCCTGTGAGGGTCCTCCTCCGGAGGGTTATACCCCCAGAATTTTCTCATCTCCGCAGTGTGTTCTCAGGTGGAGGTGTGTGTGGGTGTGTGTGTGTGTATGTGTTGCTCGGCTTTAGGTTCTCTCGGTTCCCAGCAGATGAAGCAGGACTCACTTGAGCTTCTGAGTTTAGGAAAGTTCTTGGAAAGAGATTTCTTTCGGCCCATCCTTGTAGTCAAACACACTTCGCTATTCCAATGCAGAACTATACAGGATTAATGTAGTTTGGCCTATATTAAAACATCATCTTTGATGATGAGGATATTTTGGATTTTATTTCACATTCAACCACTTTTAGCAATCATGTCCAAACTTCACGCATTGCGGATTTATGCTGAAACTTTGATTTGTTTTTATTTTTTTATTTTATATCTTTTGCTTTAGTATCAAGGTTCAAAGCTGCCTCAAGGCAAACATGTTCCTGAATACTGGGAAGTTTTAAACAAGTCAGTTCAAAAGGGGAATTTTGTCCCATAAATATAACAAAGTTGTAGCAAAAAGGAAATTTTGACTCCATAAAGTCAGTGATTCAGTTACAAAATCCAGCACCACTTTCTGTAACTTTACACCCGCTAACTTTTAGTGTGTTCGATGAAGTGATAGGCCAACAAAACGTAATGCCTTGTTGTAACGGAGAAGAACAATGAAACATTTGGTTTTTGTGCAAAAATACATTTTAAAAGAATAGCAGGTAGTATTTTTTGCATTTAGAGACTGATTATTTTTTCAAAACAGTTCAAACTCAGTCAGATTGGATATAGTAGAGCAGGGGTGTCCAAACGTTTTTTCTGTCACGAGGGAAAAGAAATGAGGGGAAAAAAGCAATAAAAAAGAAAAACAAAATATGGTTTTTTTTACATATTTTGTTTCATCTACTCAACAATAAAATAAGCTGAAAAAATTTAGTACAGTAGTCATATTGTTTTTTTGGATCGAATTGTAAAAACGGATTTGCAGGTTGATGGTGTATAATGTATTTTTTGGAGCTTTTCGTCATGTTATAAAAACATACCTGGAGTGTTGCTTTGATTCTTTCAAGCATGGCAACTATTCAACTGTGCAGAACACGAGACGCTCCTCCATGGAGCTGCAGTTTCCAAACCCTCCAGCTTCCCCTGCCATATGGCTCCCCCACTCAACTCCTTCAGACTAGCTTGGAGCAATTAGCAAACAGCAGTGGGAACTGCACATCAGCTGAGCTCGTTATAGTAGCTACTTCTCAGTGAATCACTGGTATAAATGTTGTTAAAGGGTTAATAGAGGAGCCATGACTCCTCTGTCTGAAGGCGGAGTTTCTTTAAGAGACCCAATTTCAAGTCGTTAAATATCAAAGTCAAATTTCTTTTAAGTCATATTTGACTTATACAGCATTTTTATAACAACTGAAGTTAACATAGTTACTTGGTTGTGCTGTGTGTTTTTCAGGGGGGATGGTGAGTCAAGGGGCACATCACTGACCTGTGTTGTGTGGTGTGGTGTGTTTGGGTGTGGTGTGTTAGTGAAGGATATCTGTCATATGCAGCATTTTAGACAAAAAACAAAAACACTACCTTTCCCTCCCATTTAAACAGAGCACCTGCTACTTGTTATATGTTTCTTACATGGCCTTCATCTTGTAACCAGTTGAATCCAAAGTTGTGGTTACATAAAAGAAAAAAAGCTCAAAGGGTTGAAACCGTTTTGCAAGACCCTGTAAGACTTTGGTCTTGTCATTGACTTGCGTCAGATCATTTAGATCTTCCCCCACTGATCCTTTGCACGTGGAAAATAATTGCTCTTGAACAGTCTACAAGTGACACACTACCCCACCTCCCCCCACCAGCCCCAACTCCCTCCATTTGCCCCCAATCTTCATTACAGAGGTATCTCCTGCTTAAAGACAAAGTGCACAACAGGGGCCCCTTGTTGCAGCCATTTCAAGGGCGTCTTAAGATCCTGGTGTTCAGCAAAGCCTGTTGTCTTTGAAACATAAGCCTCCAAAAGTTCTCGGAGATCCCCTCACTCTCTTAGGGGGCGGAGAAAGCATCCTGAAATAGCTCCGGTGTTGGGACACCTGTGCTCAAGTGTCTGTTGTGTGGGACAATGTGCTCATGTTGAAGGGATTATTTTCTTGATATTTATAGACACTTTATACCGATGGAGAAAAACACTAAAAGTGTTTAATAGGCCGCAGAGAAGTTGCTTTTGCACTTAAAACAAGAATTAGTCGACTTTCTGAAGAAAAAGAAAAAGTTTCGCGCTGAACCGTTGAGGTCTAATAATGACCAAATATTAAGTATCCACTTGAGGTAACCATAAACATACATTATGACACGCGCTAAAAGCAGGTGGTATAAAATATAGAACTGGGTCAGACCTCAGTTCAATATCAGGTTCCGCCGGAAATAAAATGCAATCCTAAACGCAAAAGTACCGATCCAATAAGGCCACTCCAACATCATCTAAAGCTAAAAAAATACTTTATGCACATACTGCATAATGACGTGGCTGTGGTAAAAATGGATAAGATGTCTGCATAGAAAGTTTTTAAATACATTACTAATTCAGGTAACACTTTATCTGATGGGTTGTGAATAAGACGGTCATTACAGCGTCATAAACATGTCATGAACATGAGTGAGTCTTTATGAACATTTATGACTTGTCATAAAGTGTCATTCGGTAAATCATGACACTTTTAATACAAAGTTGACATTATTGAAAATGTCTTTGTTATGACAACTTCACATTAACCAAGAAATCATGATCTGACATAAATTTGTTATAAAAGTATTGCTGATTAAACTTTAAAAATGACGTAGCTTTATGTTATTAAAGCTGAGGTTTAAATATTCATGAAGACTCACTCATGTTCATGACAGGTGTTTATGACGGTGTCATGACAGTCTGATTGTCAACGCGTCAAATAAAGTGTTGCCCTCATTCATTTGTGGAAATGTTACCAATTTTAGCTGAAAGAGCTGTTATACAATAAGCCACCTTTGCTAACTATGCTAGCATTATTAAGCTAGCATAGTTAGCCATCATTGATTAATTAGCTAACAATCCAGGCATAATACTGCTAGTATAGTTAGCTAACATTAGCTAACTATGTTAGCATAGCAGTGAAGTCTATGTGGGAATACCCTGGGAACTATGCAGTGTTCAGACTTTTACCACACAAACCAACATCGTCAGGTTCTCGTGAGCATTAAAATTTTCAGATTGCTCTGGATTTGGACATCCTTTGTGTTAACACTTACGTCTGAGAGGGCCAAACTCCTTTGACAAATCTGGCATGTTTCATGACAGACATGCCCAAAGGATAAAATCTGAACTGTTCTGTGGTTTGTTCGGTCTTCTTGTTTTCTACTGAAAGTCTTGCCCTTTAATCAGCAGTCAAGCTTAAAATGGTCCGTTCTGCAGATCTTTTTCACTCATTTGTGGTGTTGAGGTTTAAACGCTTGTTGTCTATCTCTTCTCAGGACAATGAAGGCAGCAAGGGCTGCTCTGGCTACCCTTACCGGACTAACTCTACCTCTCCTACCAAGCCGGAGGAGTGTTCCAGGGATCGAGGGGAGTCGGTGATCGGCCTCGCCTTCGGGACTCCCGAACGGCGTAAAGGAAGTCTGGCAGACGTGGTTGACACACTGAAACAGAAGAAGCTCGTGGAGCTGACCAAGTCGGAACAAGACGGTGAGAGAAAGCCTTCAGCTTGTTGAAAATGTGTGTGCGTGGTTTTTCATCTCTGTACTCAGGGATCACGGGAGACAGCTCCCTCTTTTTAGTGTTGCATTTCTTTCTGCTTGGACCTGGATGCTACACACTGTAACAAGTCTTTCACTCGACTACCTCACTTGTTTTGTTTTGGACGATGGCTTTTCCAAGTCTGAGAGAAACATTTCTGCTCGGCTTGGGCTGTGTGTGAAGATTTATTGGCCAAGTTGTTTTACAATCTAAGCCTATCAATAAATAGATCCAGTTAAACTAAAAGGAAGTACAATTTTAATCTCAAGGTTTTCAGTACCAAGACATTGCCCAAAGGTTTTTGTCTTTCCCAGATTGTGAAATAATGAAAACCAGACCTAAAAAAGTGTCAAAAACACAAAGGAGATTTCACTCTTTCTCCACAAGACTTCTGGAACCACTGAGAAGATCTAAATATCTGCTCACACCAGCAGTGAAACACGGTAGTGGAGGTGTGATGAGTAGGAGTTGTACCCATGATAAGTGGGCTGAATATTTCCACCATTATGTGAGAGAAATTGATGCAGAAAAAAAAGCGACTACAGGTTATTATTGCGAAAGGCACTTCTATCTACTACAGATTCATTGGGTATCATGACTATTGTCAACAAATTCACGGTTGGCAACATTATCAGATTTGTTAAAATTTATAAAAATTTTAAAAGGACAATTAAAGGTCTAAGTTGATTCACTGACAATTACACAATCAGCATACATGTAGATATCTGTAATTGTGGTGATAATAACGCTAACATATTTGACAACTTTTGTCCTTTATTAAAATATGAAGTCACAGAGGAATGCACAATAAGCATCGAGACTAATGTGTTTTAACTTGAATATTTCCAGGAAGGTTTGTAGGAAGTTCTGACTCAGGAAGTTCTGACAAAGTAGAAACTTGCCAAAAAGCTCCAGGCAAAATGCCTTGTGTTATTTTGACAGTCTTGTCAAGTGGAAGGCTGTGGCTCAAAATGTTATACAAAAACAAGTGAGAAATTAGAAAAAAATAAAGAGATAGAGCAGATCGGTTTGAAAATCACAAGCGCCTTGATAAAGTTAGCTTACTCAGCGTTAGCCGACAGGAAGCTGGAGGCAGAGAAATACTTCTGTTGTTTCCTTCTGCGTGTAGTAAAATTTAAAACTTTTTCAAAACTCTTTTCTTGTGATAAAGTCTTCATAAACACTTTGAATTTCCGTGATGTGGCTATGACATTAATTTTTTAATGGTAATTATTAAAACCGTTTATTGTTGTATCCGTACGCATTTCGTAATTTTTATTCAACAAATAATGATTCTGTTCACTTATAATTTTTTCATTCATTTTTTCCATTTTATATAACTACTTTATTATGATTATCGCTTGATAAACAAAACTACAGCTGAAAATGTGTATTTTCTGTTTATCGTGACTGAAACGATAAACATAAAGTCACGTCGTCTTTATGGAATAAAAATCCTCTCACGTAGTTGCATCGTAGTTTGAGTTTATATGGGCTAAGACCTTTTATTTAATTATTTCCATATATGGATTTCCTGTACAGTAAATGTTGGGTCAATGAAAGGTCAAAGCAAGAAAATAGTTTGCAGTCATCAGTCATGTCTGTTGTTAATTTTTGTTTGGACAATCACTAAGCAAATGGAAATATACAAATAAAGTTTAAATGTTTGATTATGACTCTAAGTGTTAAGTATTGTGACTGAAAAGTACAGTTACAGTAGGACTTTTTCACAATAACAACAGCCAAAACTGTCTGAGCAAACCCTTCGATTAAATTACTTTCATGCCTCATATTTCATAGACAAGTTGTTTTCTATCTTGCTTACAGAGTGAGACCAGCCGTGTCGTCCATGCTTATTTTGTTTTCCCTTTCCTCTTCAGAAGATCTTTGAACATCTTAAATTACAAGTGGCTTATCCCTCGACTGTCAGATCACAGTTTCAGTCAGTGAAAACACAGGTTTCCCTTTCTCTCCGAGGCCTCCCGGCATGCCGCGGCTCGCCCTTTCCCTCCCCAAAGCGAGCCAGATCTAAACCCGTCAAACACCCCTCTTTACTGTTGTGTGCAGATAGTAATCGTGATGATATCACAGGAGCTCTTGATCTCCCTCATTTAGAGGTTTTACTGTGTTATAGATACAGTAAAGTTGGCGAGAACGGGACAGCCAGAGGCGTAGTGCAGTGACTGGTGCCTTGAGTTGAAAGGCAGGTAGCTGTGTTTCTTATCTACCTCACAGGAACCGGCTTAAAAGGAAATGGTGTGTGTCTGTTGGGGGGTTCAAAAGGTGTTTTGACATTTCCCTCCTCTAATCTAATGTGATATGAGTTAAAAGATGAGACTGCTTTACTTCAATAAGCGCCAAGACAGACATTTTTTTTATGTCTTCTCCTTAATAAGTTACTTAGCAATTAACTAGCATGAGGCAACTTTTAGCCCGATAATTAATGTAATTAAAACAGGATGGAGCATGGAGGAACGCGGTGCTGGGCCTTCCTGACTTGTCGCTTCTCAATGCCTGCCAGCTGGCGTAAAGTGGGCCACTGCTACACTTTTACCTCATTGGGAAGAAAAATTATGAAAAAATAGTTCCCAGTCATGAAAGGCCAACTAAAAGATCACTCTTAGAATCGACACTATCAATTATTAAAACAGCAGCTAACAAACTGTTAGCAGGAGAACCGCTACGCAGCCAAGTCCTGGCTAGCTAGCTGAACAGTTAGCCCGACTTACTGCCCCGCTAATATCAACTTATAACAGTTTAGCTGTTTTTATTAAAGGGATAGTTGAGCAGGTAAGTTACCTGCAGCAGATAAATCTTTTTGGTGTTTTCATTTGGTATTGATCAAAGTTCATTATAACCCGAGGCTGAAGCTAACAACTATCCGGAGGCTGAAAACAAATGACGTTGGACACTGGAAGCTCTTTGGTGGCGCGGTGGAAATGATCGTTCACTTCTCTGTGCAGCAGCTGTCAAACAAAAGGCGATGATAGTTTGAATGTTAATGAGCTAGCTCTGCCATAAATCACTCTGACCTTTTTGAGGTTGAACTTGTTTTAAGATGGAGGAAATCCACTTTGATCTCAGCTCCGCTTTGACTATTAGTTTCAGCCTCCAGGACCAACAAATCTGGATTTACTCTACATGCAAACCTCAAGAGAGTAATTTACTGCTGTTCCTATCCCTTTAAGGGAAATATAGAATAAAGGCACTTGAAGCTGCTACTGAATTTAGAAGGTGTGCTACAGCATTTCTATTTGAACTTATGTACTAAAAATAGTATGTTAATTATAAGGATATCACTATCCAGATAATAATATATTAGTATTTGAGCAGTGTAGAAATAATTTCCTTAATATGTTCAGATTGTGTACATTTTTGTTTAATATTCCACAAGTCTCATATTGATCTGTTTAAATGACCATTTTCCACTTCTGTGGAACCAGCAAATCAGATCAAGTTTGGTTTTCAGGGACTCTGAGGATCAGCTGGTCAAATGACAAAAAAACGTCGTTTTCCCCCCTCGCTCCATTTATTTCCTGAAACGAATCACAGAACTTCCCAAGTTTTTCTTGACGAATGACGTGACCGACTACCAGCTCGCAATTTGATGGTCGTACATTTTGCATATATGGGGAAAATCTTGTGATGTACAATCTTTGTCAGAGATCAATGAGCAATTTAGTTTTAATTTTTCATGTCATATAGTCCTACCTGCACAGCAGCATTGTATTAATCTTTTCCTTTGCTAATTAGCATGTCTGCTGCCACAGAGTAGAAGGTCTTGAACATTTTGGTGAAATCAAACAGGAGAAGCGCGCGCGGTGGCGGCGCCACCAGGCCCGCCAGGCCCGGCTCACCGTACGCTGTCAGCCTGTGTGAATGGGGCCTCCTAAAATGTTCCCATAAATTGCTGTGATCCCTGCAGGCGCATCTTTCAGCTGGTCGCCGTGGAAATGCGTTCCACTGTGGATTCACTGTGTATGGATTGATGGGCACCTCTGCTTCTTTTTCTTTTTTTTCACCTAATGAGCTTCGCCAAAATGAAGCGAGTCAATCCATAGATGTCTGAGGCTGAATGCTTCATTAAGAGAGCTCCCCTTTCTGTGGCTTTCACAACTGATGAGGATTAAAGCATCCGTCCTTTTTTCTTTTTATTTTCTCTGTTTCTGATTTTTTTTCTCTCTCTTTCTTTTGAATGTTTGAATAGACTACCGCTTCTTCATTTAATTGCACCTTTCTCTGTCTGCCATGTTTTTTTTTTCTCATTCCCATTTTCACCTGATGAGAGACTTCCTTCTCTTGTCTTCAACCCTTCAATCTTCAGCTGCCTTTTTACTTTAAGGAATTTCTCTCCCACACGCCGACCTCGCTCCCATCCTAAATCAAAGCGCTTGTTGGCGACAAACAGGGATGTCGCAAATTCACGACCTGTCGGATTTGCTTGTAAATTGCTAAAAACACACAGGAGCGCAAGGTCACCCCGGTGAACGGAGGCCGTCCTGTTAAGGCAGGAATTAAAGATAATTTTTCTTAAATGATCTTCCTCTGATGCCTCAGAGGTGAGAAACGCGTTTAGTATCAGAACATCCCCTGCACACCCTACCCAACGGAGCTCTTGTGACTCTTTCCCCGACCCGGACTCGCTCTGGTTCTGTTTACCGTACGATCAGATAGAATGGACTCTAGTAGGGAGCATGGCTGATTTCAGTGAGCGTGACGTTTCTAATAAATAGACATGTCCTCGCTGTTAGATATCAAAGGTTTATTTCTGGGTCAGGAATCAGCCTTTAAAGGTTTATTGAGAACTCTTTAAGACAGTGTCAGGTAGTTGTGTTGCCACACAGCTGGTTGCTGAAAGTGCTTCCCTTTTCACCTGGACTTTCACAACACGCGAGCCACAAGAGGGGCTTTTCTCCACTATTTTGTATTTATGTCGAGTCGCGTCTCCG